ATTTCAGCTTCTATTCATATGTATTTATAAAGATGATAAATAACTGATTATTTTTTCATAAAGACTTTTTTAAAGCAATTTTATATCTCGTTAAAAAGTATCGTTAAAAGTATCGGCGAATCGGAGATACTGATACTTATCAAAATAGATATCTGTATCTGTGATACAGTATCGCTATTGGTATCGCCGATACTCCATGCAGATACATCTTCAAAAGAATCGTACACAATCCAGTTACATATCGTTACTTAATCATTACATCACATCACATCACCACACCATCACATCACCACACCATCACATCACCACACCATCACATCACCACACCATCACATCACCACACCATCACATCACCACACCATCACATCACCACACCATCACATCACCACACCATCACATCACCACACCATCACATCACCACACCATCACATCACCACACCATCACATCACCACACCATCACATCACCACACCATCACACATCATCGTCGTCATCGTTACACACAACCATCACAAACACGATTATCGAACATCTGGTCACCATCAAATGAAATGATTGATTTCTCTTTTTTTTTGGTGGATTTATTTCATCATCGTCGTCGTCATCATCATCTTCATCTTCATCATCGTCGTCAACCTCATCTTCATTATCGTTGTCATCGTCGTCACCATCTTTGCCAAATTTGTTATCATCTTTATTTCTATTAATACCAACTACTATACATACAAACAATTCACTCCGTCATTATCATATTGCTATACCAACTACCACATTATCACATCATCACATCATCATATTGTCATCTTATAACTTGTTTACTTCACTTCTTTATCATCATCATAGTAATCATTTTAAACATGGATGGGTATATGACTATCAACCACTCATCGTACATTAAATTTGCGAGCATTCTTTTAAAGCAAAAAATTTGTGTTATTCGTGATCAATATTGGCAATGAAAAATTTCATCGTCGTCTTCATCATCTTCATTATCATCTTCATCATAGTCGTCATCATCATCATCGTCATCATCTTCATTATCATCTTCATCATAGTCGTCATCATCATCATCGTCATCATCATCATCGTCATCATTTTCATCATCGTCATCATCTTCATCATCAAAATATTCATTATCATCCTTGTTAAAACTTTGAACATCTTCAAATTCTTCATAATCATAGTTTTCATCATCATCATCGTCGTCGTCATCATTATCATCACCACCAACATCATCATCA